TGATAACTTATTTGAACAACCTCTACCGCAGAAAGATTGCCAGCTGTGTGTACTGCGAAATTCCTATCGGCAACAAGATTTGTTGTCAATGATGGTCAGCTAAGCGGAGTCTCGATGTTTTTCCGCTCCATGTTCTAAACAATGTGCCTAAAACTGACTCAGTGCCAATGAAATTTTAGATGCCTACCAACCGGCTTTTATTGCTGAAGAAGCATGCTCTAGTACAGTGAAATAAACTAAGATTTATATATAAACAGCCTAATATTTGTGATGTATTCGGCATGACTACGAATCACTGAAAACTAAGATTCCTTGCTTGGTACATGGAGCTAGTTAGTGATATAACACTCACTGTATGATTGTTAATAAAGACATCCTCTTCGTAACGAGACTTCACAGTCGGTTTCTCAGCACCTTTGATAATTCGGCCGGTAGGAGAATATTCTGCGTAGGTTTCCCATTGACCAAGTCTGAGCTCTGCTGGTAGAGCTTCTAAATGCTCGTGACCACCATAACGATCCAAAATTTCCTCACGAACACGTGACTGAACATCGGATTTTGCCTTTTGAACTTTTTTCGCCAATAACTCCAAGCGTGTTGGATCAGCCTGATAGACAGAGAACAGATGAGATACCGTAACAGGCTTGTCACGAAAGTGTAGCACTAGAATGGATTCATTGAGCAAACAAACAAATGAGTAAAAGAAAAGTTAAACACATCCGGCATAAGCGCCTATTTGTTTGTGACTTGAAAATAAATGCTTATCCGAACAAACGACTAATAATACCACTGTGGGTGAAAAATAATTTCAAATGTAATTTCATTCATGCTGTTTTTTGTTTTCTTAACTATTTGGAGTTTCAATTACGTTTACAAGTTGGCGGTACTTTAATGATTGTTTACAGCAAAGAAGGCAAAGAGTCCCCCACAATATACGTAGTTTCAATTTCGAATCGGTCAACATCTCTCGGAACCCGTGCGATAGTCTTCACCTTAAGTGTCAGGCACATTTTGATACATGTATTATGATGTTATTAGTATTATTATTAATTATATTTCACACAAGTCCAGACTGTGCAAACAAAACACGGTTCAATAATCCTTATAAGAAATAAAAAGGTTCATGATATCCTCGTGAGGACCAAAGCAAATTTTAGGAAGGTCTCGTTGTCGCCCCAATCATGACTAAGGCACGGCTGTTTATCTAATCAATGATTTAACGATAGCTTTATGCGGAACCCGCCAATTTGCTGTTACAATCACGATTTTGTTTGCAGGAACTCGCGTTAGGGGTTTCGATTCCGATTCATTCGTCCGGCACGCACACAGACGACAAGCCACCTGTATCGGGTGGTTGTCACCACCTGTTGCATCTTTATCACTGGCTCATTTTAATTCTGGAGAAATATTAGGATGAGAGACATTTACTTTACTTAAAACAGTCTGGTTCTTGAAAACAGGATCAACATACTGGGTTTTGCATAATTGGATTCCAACAACCTTCATCCATCACGAGACTGCACCTTGACGTGGTGTGATGGCTTGTGCACCTCTATGACCCAACGAGCTACACAGGATCTCTTTTACTGAGCCAAATATCTAATCATGCCTGGAAGGTCAATGGGTAGAGGTCACACGAAGTCCTGGTCCTCCAAGTTGGGGGTTCGACTTGAGTCGGCATCTCAGTCGATAAAACATATTGGAGGAATAATTGATCCAAGCTAATGGGCCTCCAATCCGCCTTAACCGCTGCCTTGCGGTTAGGTTTTTGTCAAAACTAAAGGCTTCGGTTGAGAACCCTAATCGTCTTCCTGCTTAGTGGCTGGACACCCTGGCAGTACCCGTTCATAAGGCTCCAATGAACACAAACAAAAAATAATTTCATACTGCATCGGTCGTCGTACAGGATAATCAGGACCGCGCTGCCCATTGAATATATATATATATATATATATATATATATATATATAATACACGTCTGAATCCAAACTGTGCCAAGCAAATCACCGTACGATAATCTTCATAAACACGAAAAAC